ACAGGTTCCCCTGGGCTCCTGGTGCTGCACCCTGACCTGCTTGGATGTGTGCCGTGGCCGATGTCGACGTAACCCTCCATCCCAGCCACCCACAGTGCCTTAAATTATGGACCAGAAGCCCACCAGCGCACCACAGCTACCCAGACCACCTTGCTACCAAACGGAGCCAGCCCCAGGCCCTCTGGCACATCACCCCTGCAGGAGGGGTGGTCTTTCCTCTTCTCAGTTGCTATTTTGCATCATGCCGTGGTATTAAAGGAGGTCACCCCTCCCAGACTGCTTGGTTAGCAGGGAGCTGCTTCGGGCCACTTGAGGGAACAGCAGTGAGCGTCCCTGTACTGCATGGATGGTAGCACCTCGGTCACACATAATGAGCTCAGGGGAGATTTGTTGCTTTTCATTCTTTTACAGGACTGTTACTGATAAGTGATGGAACCCAAGGATCAGTATAATTGGCTGAACCTCAGACAGTCATTCTAGCACACATTTAACCAATAATCAGTCCACATGCACATTTTTACAGACTCTGGGGCCATTGCCTATAAAGAGTTGCCCCCTCCGGGTCAAGAGCTCTGACTTCACAGATACTCAAGATATCAGTCAATGGCACAGAGACCTCTACAGGTACCACAGCCCGAATGCAAGTCCTCCCCTGGGCACTCTTCTTCCCCTATGGAGTTTCAGACATTCCTGATGGTGACCAAAGACTCATTTCCCTTCTGGGTGTACACCATGCTGAACTCCTGAACAAGGCATTTGCTGGAACTTCCTACCAGATGCATCAGCTGGAAATTTGTTAGAACTGCAAGTTGCCAGACCTCACTGCAGACCTGATAAATCCAGAATCTCTGGGCTTGACCCAGCAATTTGTTCTCAGTAGCCCTCCAGGGAATTCTGACTCTGGCTTAACTTGATCAAAAGCATCATTTTCAGGGCTGAATAGTGAACAACTATATGACCAAAATACAGTTTACTTAATGCATTCTACTGTCTATGCAAGGATCTTTATGACATCTGCTAAAAAACAAAATTCAAGTACGTAAATTTGAAGACTAAGGTGACTTTTTTCAAAGATTCATGAATCAGGCAGCATGCTATCTGGAAACTAGAAGGGCACTTAGGTAGTAAATCTAGGTTTGGTGTCATGGCTTTTAGCATGAGTGACATCATTCTGGGACCGTGGTTTCCATTTTACACATCTTACCTTGTGTCTTTCTTTCACTGTGCCAAGTGGAACACTCATCTTTAAAGGTCCTTTCATTTGAAATCCTGGCTGGAGGCATACTTTTTTTTGCATTTCAAAGAATCATGCAGAACAAACTTGTTATGAATGAAAAATAAGACAGAAAGCAAGAAAGAGAGAGGTGTTGGGGTAAGGGTGACGTACAGCCATTTTACATGAACTCTTCATGGAAAACCATTACTAAAGTGACATTAGAACAAAGCCCCAGAGGAAATGTGGGAGTGAGGGCTACAGATGATGGAGAGAAGTGTGGTCCAGGAAGAGGGAACTGCAACAGCAAACACCCTGAGGCAGGACCATGCCCCACATGTCAAAACAGGAAGGAGTATAACTGAGCAGGACCCTATGGGGGATTCTGGGGACACCCCCGCCCCGCCCCCACCATGTCCTCTGCCTGCCTCTTGTTTATAAAAACACTGTAGTCTCCCAAGCCTCCCCTGAGTCACAGAAGCCTGGCTTAAGCGTTAACGATTGAAAGAATATGAACATGTAGTGACAACAGAATATTGGCAATTGGGCCAGGAGAACTGGTAACAATTTAAATAGTAAATCAGCCTTACAGCCTTACAGCAGTCACAGAATCTTTAGTTCCTCCCTGAAGGACATAGATAACAGTGTCTGATGCACATTCCTGAGTTGTTTTACAGATACTGAAACCTCTACCAGATGGAGGAAGTAACTGCACATCAGCATGGAGCAACCAAAGCAGCTGGAGTCTGAGGGCTGATGATGGCTACCCCTGTGACACCACCCTGTTACCTCACCATCAGCCAATCAGAGGACTGTGCATGAACTGATCGTGTGCCCTGGGATGCCTCGTTTCACCTTATCTTTACAAATGCTTCCCTGAAGCCCATTGGGGAATTTGGTCTTTTGAGCATTAGCTGCCCCAGATCCTTGCTTGGCACCTGCAATAAACACTTCATGTTCCTTCAACACACTCAGTAGATTGACTTTACTCTGTGTAGGCGAGTGAACCCAAGTTTGTTCAGTAACAGATGGATTCAGCAGAGTAATTAAAGGGAGGGGAAATACTCTGTGACTGCAAAAGGTGGCAATGACCAGGTTGTACTGGCTTGGAGACCACGTGACACGTTGGCATGATTTCTGAGTGAGATGAAGAACCACGGGTGGGTTTTGAGGAGACGAATGACAATATTTGGTTTATGTTTAAGGGATCACCCTAACTGTTATGCTGCATGGGGACTACAGTGGGGAACAGGACAGGAGGCAGAGGAAGCAGGAAAAGTCCCTAGGAGGCTATTGCAATATTCCGAGCATTTCATGATTGTAACTTGAGCTCGCCAGGTCATTGCAGATGGAGAGGTAATAAGAGATCCAATCTTGGTTTATTGCACGAATTATCGTATAATGATCTGATCACTAATGTGCTCATCCAATCTGTAAAGAACTATTCTAGGGATCTGGGAAGCTTACAAACTAGAAATTAGTCTAATTTTCACGCTATCCAGAAACTCCTGGAAAATTCTACTAAGCCAGCCTCCCCATTCTAGGCTGAGATGGACTAAAATAACCTACTTCTGGAGGCAGCCTCAGGCCTCAGGGACTCAGCCTGGTTTGATCCATGTCTGGTAGCTCTCAGATTTCTCTCAATGTCTTGGTTCTCCTTCACATAACCCCACCCCTTCAACCTTAATTCAGAATCAGTCTCTGTCTCCTCAGCTCTGGAAAATGGGGCATTGGAGAAGAGCATGCTCCGATTTAATTTTTAAAGGAACACTTGGTTATTAAGGATAAAAATAGTGTGAAAGCACAGAAAGCATTTAGGAGACTTTTATAGGAATCTAGACAAGACAGGATGATGGCAGAGTCTACAATGTTAGAGTAGAGATTGCAAGCTGAAAGATTCAGCAAGTGTCTGAAGAACTTTTTAGTGGAAAGGATAATTGAAGAGTAAGAGAAAAAAAGAAATGAAGCATAAAACATACCATTTTTGGCTTCAGCAAACAGGTAAGTGTGGCCGTTGTTGGTAAACATGATGACAGATTGGAGGAACCCAGGCTTATGGGGGAGATATCAAAAGCTGTGATTTTCCCATGGACGGTACAATGGCACATCTATCTGAATCCATCTGTGCGCCGTGTATGGCTATCCACACACGCTCCCCTCGACAAATGTTAACATGCAGGAATAGAGAAAGGATTACAGGGGTATAAACCAAGTTTTAATCCTATTATCCACTCCTGAGGGAAGTAAGATAAGAACTAAGTAAAGAAGGAAGCTTTACAGTTTTTCCCTATTTTTGTCTGAGAAGGCTCTAATGGTTTTATAATTCAAACATTAAATAATAAATGATGCAGTTGTGATAGTATCACTGAAGATTCTAATCTGAAATAAAAATAAGCACAACACTGTAGTCTGCCTAGTTCCCTGATAAATCTTAAGTTTGATAAGGCACTGGGCTTCTAAAGATATGAAGAAACAAGTACTTTCTTGTATTTCTGGTGAAAGTGTACGTTAATGAAACTATAGTCGAGGTGGGAAAATTCTCACTAAAAGTATCACGGAGTATTTAAGATTTTGTGGGCCATAGGATCTCTACAACAACTACTCTACGTGGCCACTGAAGCATGAAAGGAAGTCCTGGACAATACAGCACCAAATGACGCGGCTGTATTCCAGTTCAGCCCTTGTACCAAAGCCTGCCCTGGGCTGGATTCAGTCTGCAGGCAGTAGTTTGCCAATATCCTACTCAAGAGGCAATCTGCCAACCTATGTCAACATTGTAAGTGTGGCATGTACCTTTGACTCAGCAGTTGATTTTGTTCTGCAAACTTTGAGGAGAAAATGTTGGGACAATTTAGAAGGCCATCATGAAAGGATTGCCTAAATGAACTACAGAGCGTCCAATTGGAGTGATGACGCTTTAAGCAGAATGAGTATTTACAAGTGTTGATATGTCGTCATATTTAAGACAATGTAAAGGCATTAACAAAACTAAGCGTAAAACAGAGTCAGAATGGTGTATATAACACACCATCATTTGAATGTGTGTCTGTGTTTGTGGCTACATTTGTGTTTAAAATATGTATGGTAATACATACATACGTACACACATACAAATAAATTTAAAAAGCAAAAATAACAAATAAAATATGTATAGTATACATGACCAGCCAGGAAGTGTTTATCTCTGAAAAAAAAAATGTGACTGAAGGATCAGATTAGTGGGATTCAATTATAACTTTACATCCTTTTGTAATTTTTATATTTGTACTATAATCAAGTGACTTCTAAAAACAGTTAATTTTTAAAATATAATTCCTATATATTACAGTATTTCAAAATATTAACTATCTTTAAAGTATGTAACTACACATGCCACATGAATATAGCTATGTCCTTTGCAGGCAGGACCTTCCTGAGTTGGAACCACCCTCCTCAGCCCAGTGAAGGAGCCCCCAGGCTGTCCTGACGGCTTGCCCAGATGTGGGGCAGAGGGGAGGCCCGAGGGTGAGGGTGAAAAGACATCAGCAGGGGGTAAGGGTGCACTTCCAGCGGTAGAGCACACGCTTAGTCTGCATGAGGTCCTGGGTTCAGTCCCCAGTATTTCCTTTAAAAACAAACAAACAAACAAACCCAAATTACCTCCTCACAAAAATAAAAAATAAAATTAAAAAAAACAAAACAGACATCATCAATCAAGACATCAAAGATGGACTCAGACTCTTTATTACAAGGACTTCCCACAAACATTGCAAGATCGTGGATCATATAGAAAGTCTTTCAAGTTAGATCAACACTCATTTTCAACTATACTTATCGTTAGTGATTTAGAAGAAGGTCTAATAGAGAAATAGGCCATAAGTTTCCCTGTAAAAATTTCACTGAATGTATATAAATGTGATCTATCATTCAAATTGTAAAAGGAAACTTCTCTCAAATCGCAGTCCAGAAAAACGCCATACTGACAGGGGTTTCCTAAAACCCGCGTGTCCTGTATCACAGCCCAGAGCTGAATCTGCCAGCAGCCATTGCTTGCGGAAGGTGAGACAGGAGAATTTCTGGGGAAAGATTCTTTACACACCCCTAAGGACCACTCCCTCATGCCTCTGCCTTCTACCTGCCAAAAATGCCTGCCAGCATCAAAACTCTCTGAACTCAGGACAGCGGGGTAAGAGGTAAACACTTGGGGAGGATGAACACAGTTTGGTTCCATCCTTTGAAAGGTTGCAGTTTTCTGATCTTGTGAAATTCGGAGGCTCTGGTGAGCAGTTTTAGGCTCCAGTGTCAAATGGACCTGAAAGGTGCTGATCATTTTGTGCAAGCCAAAATACTGTGGGGGGAGAGTGAAAACCTCCTTCTTTACTTCGTATGAAATGGCTGCTGGGCTCTCTAGGTTTTCATAGCTTCTGTGGATTCTTTCAATGCCTGTGAGTAACTCCAAGTCAGACTGGGAACACTTGTTGGTTATTTCATAAAACAGAGTTTTCAACGTGGATCCATGGTCTGATATTTGGGTTTTTTTGTCAATTATTTCATACTGAACACTTTTCTCTTCAGTCTGTAACATGAAGTCAATTACATTGTGCTCTGTTTTCAAGAAATTCTTAAAATGTTCAGCTTCAAAGAGCAATTCACTCTTTCGATTCTCCACGTTGGACACCAACTCAAATGATTTGGAGACTTGCATTTCTAAGCCCTTTCCAGCATCTTCCAGCTGCTTTGTCAGGGGCTCCAGGTAGCCCTTGAGCCTCCTCCTGTGACACACTGCAGCTTGCTCCACGGGCACCAGGGGGTGGTGGCGGTGCTTAGAGGAGAGCCTGCACTGGGGACACAGCAGCTCCAGGTCCTCCTGACAGAACAGGCTCAGGGCCTGACTGTGCTGCTCACACAGGGGGGCCTCCCCCTGCCGGCCCCTCTTGGCCCTCGTGCTGGGAAGCTGCCTCACAGCGTCAGCCAGGTGGCTTAACTGGCTGTTCCTCCTGCAGCTGCGGTCAGGGCAGGGCTGCAGGCAGAGCGGGCAGGGGAAGAGGTCCCGGAGCCCCTCCCAGCGCTGCTGGAGGCAGGCGTGACAGAAGTTGTGCCCACAGCCCGTGGTCACCGGGTCCGTCAGGCAGTCCAGGCAGATGGGGCAGCTGGCCTCCGCGTGCAGCTGCGCCAGGGAGGCCGCCAGGGCCATCGTGCCGGGAGGGGTCCTGTCTGAGGAGACGCCCTCAGAGAAGCCCGGCTCTCCAGGGGCTGGGACAGGGACAAGCTTCCGACCCGTCACCTGCTCTCTGCCCTTCACGCCCGCCCGCGGGTCTCCCAGGACCCAGGGAGCTGTGTGCCCTCGGGCCGAGTCCTGCCCCTTCCTTCACCTCCACAGCCGCAGCCGCAGCCGCAGGGCCCGGAGCCCCAGGAGCCTCCGCTGCCTTGGGCACCTTGGTCCCTTTCACTCGGTGGCCGGAAATCGAGGCCTGAGAGGCCGTCCTCTCCTTCAGGGACAGCCCAGCTCCAGGTGGCCGTGAGGATCCCCAGCGTGGGCCAGTCAGCACATCCAGACGTGGGCCAGTCTCCGCACAGCTCAGCAGCTCCTTCCAGAAAACGCTAACACGGGGGAAAGAACATGCATTAAGGAGATAAACACCATGTACATAATCGACAGTGTTTTACCAGGTTTTTTTTTTTCTGGATTCAGATACATCATTTCCAAACAAAAAGGAATTGTAGTCAGTTAGGATAGCAGATGCCTGGTGATGGTTAATTAATGTGATTTTGTTAATGAAAAGAGACTCAACAGGAAAGGTACCCAGTACACTATTTACATATAAAACCCTGTGATATCAGGACCGGCTTCACAGTGATGAGGAGCAGGGAAGGGTGGAGGAGACTCACTGGATGTGAACATGGGACATGTTGGCTGAACTGAGTGTCCTCCCCTCCTCCCATGCAGTTTCTGTGTTGAATCTGTAAATCTCAGCACATCGGAATGGGACTCTTTGTGGTGAGAAGGGCTGTAAAATGTTGATTAAGTTAAAATGAGGCTGCTGGGGAGAGGTCTTAGTTCAACACTGACTGGTCACCTTAGAAGAGACGTCCGGGACAGGCACCCACAGAGGAAAGGAGGTCCCAGGCAGGAAGCGGCCCCCTGGGAGCCCCGGAGCCAGGGCTCAGGGGTAAGTGAACCTCCTGGCCCTTTGATCGGCAGCTTCCAGCCTCCAGAATTGTGACAGAATCAGCGTCCATTGTTGAAGTCACCCCAGCTATGTGCGGTGTTCTGCATGG